TGAGTTGTATTCAGTATCAGGGTGGCGGGAGGTTCAGAATCAATTAGGGCAAGGGGTTTGGAGTCTGAGGCGCTCAGGGTTTAGGGATTACGTGGTTGGGGGGAGGGGTAGGGGTTCAGGATCAAAGGTCTGGGGGTTCAGGATTTACGGGGCTTATGGATCTACAAGTGGTGGCGTTATCTTACATCGGCCCGTCGATTGGGCGTCTACCTGGGGACACCACGTCTTGGGCTGGGCCACTGCTTAACAACATATGGAGAAAATTTTGTGCAAGACAGCGGCTGCGCGCAGTTTTGTTTTTTAGCGTGACATCCTGGGGCCCATTAGTGTTGCTACTCCCTAGTGCATACAGGTTTTCCATTGGGCTCCTGTTGCAAGATCCCATAGCCAAATCAATATATCTGCGGGCTCCTCTTGCAAGGTCCCATGGCAAAATCAATATTTCTCTGGGCTCCTGTCGTAAAACCCCCTATACAGACGGGAATTCTCTCGGGCTCCTGACGTAGAATCCCCTATTAGGCGACATGTCTGAGCACTGCCTCCGGCTATTCCAAACACCGTGTCTCATTGGGGATTTGCTGATGTAGAGTGGCCAGAATGCAGGTGAAACGCACTGAACACGTTGGCGTCTGCCATGTAAGCGGCATTTTCTACACCTTCTGTCCGGCTCTTCAAAAAACAGCGTCTCTTTGGGGGATGTGCATCCGCTGATGTAGACCTTACCCAATGATGTATATTGTCCTTGATGCAGCGTCTACATGAAGCGATGAATACTCTGACCGACCGACCCCGCCTATGGTAGTGGTTTAGGGCTTCAGGGCTATAGGGGTTTCGGACATAGTGTAGAAGCATTATTTCCCACGAGGATCCGCAAGTGCTATACATATTGTTATTATCGCCGAGATATATGTGGTGTAGGGATAACCAGACGCCAGCATTCACTCCAGTTCTCACACGTTTCCATCGACACTGTTTGGGGTTTTCGCCAGCACTAACGTTGGATGCTGGGAGTCTTCAACACAGGCATAAGTCTTAGTCTCTTCGTCTTAAACCTCAGGTAAGCCCGAAGCCCGCAACCTTCAACCACAAACCCAAAACCTCAATCCCGAGCTCCCAAGCCCGAGGCGCCGAATTTGAGATTCTAGCAGTGAAATCCTGAGCTCTACGTCCTAAATCGTTTTAAGGGCCCAGACATTCCGGCTCACCCCCATCTAGAAGCTCATGGAGGAAAAGTGGAGGCGGCTGTAGAACTTGACCAGCAGGTGTCTGACACGATTCAGAATGGCTGAGGAGGTTCGGGCTGTCGAAACCCATCTTAAGCTGGGCTCCGTTCAATGAGCAGTGGAGCTGGAATTGGCGAGCAGGTACTACGCTGGTGCCCGTCGCCATTACGTCTTTTGCTGCAGAAAACCAGCGCTTGCAGCTCCAATTTGAGAAAGAGACTTTGGAAGAGGTTCGCAAGGATGTGCCGAGCTTTCAAAAGAACCACAAGACAGGCCCGCTGCCACCATATTGCCTACACCTCACTTCACTATCGGCCTTGGAATATTACAAAGGGCTTCTCATATTTTCTTCCCTGACAACCCTTTATAGAAGTGAAGTAGAAAAGGCTTAGTAGCTAAGTAGACAACTTTTGATTGTTTGGGGCCGGAATACTCGCATTATAGCTTGAGGCTAGACGGGGCCAGGGGCATTTGGCAGCTAGGAAGGTTACGTACCATGTTGTTCGTTGAAGGCTCATTGGGGCGTACATGACAGGTCTGCGTAAACTTGGTGATTTTGTACACTACACCATGACCATTGCACTCTGAACCCACCCAGATGACTAGACCCTTGGTAGACGGTCAAAATGGTGGTTCCTTGTAGGGCCATGTCAGGCCCCTAGTTTGTAAACTGCGGGGTACCCCACGACGAATCATGATTTTGAAAACTCTCCATATGAAACAGTGCGAGGGGGCTTGAGGGAGAGGGTTTTTTCTGACATCCCGAAGATAAGCCAAGTAATGCTTCGGTCCCTAAACCCTCCGCCCCTGAACCTAGAATCGAGATCCTACATTACCCTAGCGATTATAGAGTCCTGGCCCTCCCTAACGTCCTACACCGAAACTGAGCTCTAACACGCTTTAGGGCATGAGGGATACAACCCTAAGGGTCCAAGTGCCCAATAATCATATACTTCCCCACAACCCGTACCATAGTTACCACTGCCCAAATCGCAAGAACCGAGTTATTGGGTACGTGGACCGGCTGGGACAGTTAAGGTTGAGGGATACAACTTAGGCTGGGCCCCCACCCACTAATAGTGACCACAAGAGGTAATGGTAATTATATTAGGGCCTGTATATATTCCTAGTATACCACTATTAGTGTCTGGGCTGGGGGCCTAACCCAAGATACAACGGCTGAGGCTCAGCCAGTATGGCTTCCCAGGAGATGACACTCCCTTCATCCAAGGCCTTCTCGGCTCTCAAGTTTTGCGCCGCTTCGGATCTAGGGAGTAGGGTTTCGGTTTTTAGGGGCTTTGGCTTTGGGATTTCAGGTTTTGGGTGGACTTGCGGCGAAGGGTTTAGATTTTAGGGCTCAGGATTCGGGGCTTAGGGTTTAGGAGTTAGGGCTTCCCAGTTGGTGTTCACACAAAAGCAAGGTTATCCTTATAACCCTAAATCCTCAAATCCTATATGCTGAACCTAAACCCTTGGAAGCTCCTGGGTAGCTACACGCGCAACCCGATTTGTGGTATCATTTCTGTTACCCATGAACTCCTACCCTGTTTGGCTCTTAAGTGTCATAATTGTTATCACCGAAGTATTCAATTTGGTTTCAACCCTAAACCCTGTAAACCCCCTTACAGTGAACTTGAAGGTTCTCAACTGGGGGCTCAGTGTAAGGTCTAGGCCGCCGTCCCTCACAGGGTTCCTCAGGGGTGTACCCTAAACCCTAAACCCTAGGTAGGGTTTGGGGTCTTGGGATCATAAAGCTGATTTCTGCGAGCCTCCTAAGTACAACGCAAATCCACGACATGAAGCCCCAAACTTCAAAGCCCCAGACCAGACCGCTGTAACCCCAAACCCCCAAACCCTTTAAAACCCGGAACCCTACAATCACACTAAGGCCCTAAAACTCTAAAGGGTGATGTCCAGCAACAGGGCCTCGGTATATACATCCAAAGATACTGTAATCCTCATCATAGGGCCTCCCCAAAGAGGGACCCCTAATCTTTTGGAAGCCCTGATCCCTGATCCCTTTATCCCCATGTACGTACTCCTTCTAGCCAATAACAGGCGTTCCCCTCAACCCCAAAACCTTAAGCCCTAAACCCTGAGCCCTAAACTCTAAACCCTCTAAACCCTAAACCCTCTAAACCCTGAGCCCTAAACCCTAAACCCTAAAGCCTCAGCCCTAAACCCAAAACCCTAACCCTAAACCCTAAACCCACCCCCAAAACAAAAACTGCTGGCCAGGCAGCGCACTCCAGGCCCTTGAGCAGATGAAGAAGGACCCCAGCACCAAGAAGGGCCTGATCCCCAGAGGGTTTAGGATTTAGGCTTTAGGATTTAAGGTTTGGGGTACCTTTAAAGCCATGGTACCGGGTTTTAGGGTTTAGGGTTTGGGTTTAGGGTTTACAAAGGGTTTAGGGATTTAGGGTTTAGGGATTTAGGGATTTACGGTTTAGGGATTTAGGGTTTGGGGTTCCGGGTTTTGGGTCTATGGTTCAGGGTTTCGGGTCTATGGTTTAGGGTTTGGGGTGGTACCCTGGAGATACGGTAGGGAGGAGGATGGCAGGGATATGTAGGGAGTTCGTTACCTAGAGTTTAGTGCTTAGGGGATCATAGGAATACGTAGTAATGTAGGACATATATATATATACACATATATGGGGTCTAGGGTTTTAGCTTTAAGGTTTGGGCTTTTGGGCTTATAGACTCTGACTTCAGGGGATAGGGTTTTGGAGTATACCGAGCTATACGTATGTGTGTATAGATATATAGACATAAGGGTTCTAGAGGGGTTCTTTTTGGGCACCAAGAAGGGAGGAGACCCCAGAGGATCTGACGGAGAGTCGGAAGTTGGGTCTACCTAACCCCAAAAGTATGTAAAATAGTAGCCCTAAAGCCATAACAGCCATAAAGGCCATTATTGTACATACTTTTGGGGTCCAGGTAGGCTTACGGGTTGTAGTGGGGCTTGGGTGAGTGAGGCAGCAAGCAGTGCCTGGTCCTCCAGTTACCTGTCCTAGAGCACTTATGTGTGGTTCACCTAGGTGGAGTACTGTGGTGAATGTGATGACACTTTGGGGGGTTGATGTAGTCGCCAAGGCTCCACCCCCCAGCTGCTTTTTCAAAGGGTTTTCGCAGGGCCTCCAGGAGGAGTTAGGACTCCCTGTCGTTTTTCTGGGGGGTCGGAGATTTGAATCCCATGTGCAGAACGGGACCTGCATGTGCTTGCTACCAGAGTCATGTCAATGGGGTGGTCGGATTGGTTTTTTCAGGCTGCCCACACTATAAGAACCAAACTACTAGTACTACGTCGTGATTCCACGGGATTTGCGCCTAAACGGCTCGGATTGTAGGGTAGTTGTAACTGGATTGCTTTGCCCCTTTGGTCAGAGTTGTCATTTTTCAAGTCGTTCTGACTCATGGTGTTTCTCTGGATCCTTGCTAGTCGGCCTAGTTCCCCCTTTTTGTCTGGTTGCCCATTCAGGTAAGACTTGAAGGAGATACTTAACCAAACACTCTGCACAGATCAGGCATTCTCATCACTTCATTACGGGGCCGTCTTTGCGAATAGGACATACAGGCAGTGTTAAAAGCGTGTTGTTACGTAGAGAGAGGGGCTCAAATCGTGGCTTGTTGGGGCACTGTCATACCCCGGCGAAGCTTCAAGGCTCTTGAAAGAAGTGATGTTGATTGGTTTAGGGCTTTGGGCCCTGAACCTTTAATCTAGACCCCCAAACCCTTAACCCTTAACCCCGGCTGTTTTGCAGAAAGTTCTTCGCAAAGGTGACGACAAGTGGGTCGACAAGATCCTGGAGCTTATGGAGACCGCGTCTCGATCAGTTTTACGTGTAAGTTAGCACCTAGGAGTTGAGGGTTTAGGACTTAGGGTTTAGGGTTTCGGATTTAGGGTTTAGGGGTTATAGTCCCTGTGAAGTAAATAGAATATGGGGTATACAGGGATCGTATTAGTATATACCCAAAGCCATATTCTATCTACTCAAGGGGGACTACAAGTAGCACCTACGTTTCAGTCGAACATTGAAAAGCGAGTGTGCATTTTGATCATATGCTCCATGTGCCGCCCAAGGTGGACGAGTACATCCCCACCCCTGAGCGTGACACCGACAAGCCATTCCTGCTGGCCGTGGAGGACGTTTTCTCCATCTCGGGCCGAGGTACCGTGTGCACCGGCCGCGTCGAGCAGGGCATTGTCAAGAAGGGCGATGAGGTCGAGATCCTGGGCCGCGGCAAGAAGCCTCAGAAGTCCGTCATCACCGGAATCCGCATGTTCAACACCGACCTCCCGGAGGGCCCGGCCGGCTACACGGTGGGCGTGCTGTGCCGCGGTATCGACAAGGATGCCGTCTTCCGTGGCCAGGTCATCTGCGCTCCAGGCGCCACCAAGACCCACACCAAGTTCAAGGCCAACATCTACTTCGCCAAGAAGGACGAGGGTGGCCGCTCCAACCCTGTGATGCCTGGCTACATGCCCGTCTTCTACTTCCGCACCTGCGACGTCACTGGCAAGATTGAGGGCATGGTGAGCTC